TCATATGATGCGCATTTCGACCACACTTAATCGCGACATAAGTTCGAAACGATTTGGAATAGTATCGACAGAACACACACATCGTAAGTGTAGTCTTATTAGCAGTCACTTCAGGAAACTTATACGATTTTGATCTGCATAATTTGTAACTATACTTTCAACTCGAGGGAATGATAATTCTCTAACACAGCGTTAGAAGAATGGCCAAATTAAGCCTTTGAATCTTCAACAAAGTGGCGCACAAAGGTGCAATTTAACTTGGATGCTTCATTTTTTTTTTAAAGGAATAGACAGCCTCTACTCAAAAATCCCACAAGTGATTTGCAGCTTTAATCCGTGCCTCTCTGAGAGATGCTCAGAAATCAGAAGTCATTGTTTGGTCGACTTAAAATGCAAGCCAGTGTTTATTGATGTCGACATACGGACTATACCGCCTCAGTGCCAAGGTGAGGTATTTTTACACTCAAAACGTCATGAGAGTTTCAGGAGAGAGAGAGAGAGTTACAGGATCGTGATGTCGGAATCAAGGTTCAACGACGACTTTCTCAGAGCAGTCATTTGTAAATTGGCCATAGATCAGTAATGAATATATTAAAGTTTGAGTGACAATTTTCTTCGCTCGAGTTCAATTGGTATCATGTTATTTGAACGAGTGCTTAAATTTATTTAAAGTTTTGGTCAATATTCATCTTTGACGCAGCGGCCGGCAGTTGTTTGTTTTTGTATTGATCACCGCTTAACCATCTTTCAACACTGCACTCTCATTGGTCTACTATTTTTATCGTCTTGCCAAAGTTGTCACGCGTTTGTGATCATGTCATCACATGTCATAGGCTTTTAATTTTTCATTTAAGAGAGAACATTTTCGCAAACTTGTCATTAGTTCGTAACTATGAGAGAACTCTTACTGAGTTCAGTCTCGCGCTGAGTGTTAAAAGGGATCACCACATCTATTTTCAATTACAAAAGCAATGTACAAGCGCCTTTAATGAAGTGATGTTATTATCATTGTTATAATTTTAATTATTTCAACACTTATTTCTATTCAGTCCATGGCACTGTCAGAGTGGATCGTTTGAAAGGAGATCAAACCTGGACTAAACTAAGTCCAGTAAACATCAAACAGTCCTCAGTCAGCCTAGCATCTGACGTGACTCCTTCGTTTACACAACTTTGGTACCCCGTGACTCTTGCTAAAAGGCTGGGCCAATTTGAAAGGTAAAGTATTGAAATTTTCGGTACAGATTGTGCGCTCATGTTTAACTTGTTTGATTTTCAAACTCTTGAGTTAACTTATCTTTCTGAAGTATTCAAGCAAGAGTCTAAACACTACAAAAATGATAAATTGCATACAACCACCGATAACAGAGAAGCTGCCTTTCTTGTCTCGGCTGCGTTTGACGCCAGAAACTTTGCTTAAGTATACTAAAGGTTAGGGAATATGTTTCTGTATATCGGTTAATTTTTTATTAGCCCATTTTATTAGAGCCTATTATTTTAGTAGCTTTCTTTTTGCATTGGTTTTAGATGTAGACTTTCCTTTTTTTACTAATCATCACACACAAGGGCATAGCCAGGATTTTTCAAATGGGGGTCACAATGTGTCACACAAAGGGTACTCACCAGATTGACATGTCGACCTCCACGCCGTGTTTTACCTAATGAGACAAAAAAATGCTTATGAGGGGGGTAGGGTTACGTGTTCCTCAGAACCCCCTAGCTAAGCCCTTGAGTCCCAATCCAGCGCCCTTTACCCAAAGAATTTCGTGAAAGCTTTCTCTGCGGCGACTGTGTTGGTGTCAATTCCAATAGTTTTCGAGTTTTTTTAAACACTGATAACAACTGGCATTATTGAGAAGCAGTATGTGTACAAAATGATACCTAGCTGTGTATATTCTGTTTAGAATGAAAGGAACATCTCCTTATCCAACGGCTCTAGCGAGACCTCTAAGTGCATACAGTACAGCCTTGGCAGCTGTTGCTGGGAAACACGCAGGTAACATTATCTATCATAAACAATACAAATTCCTCAAATGTTATTGGTGCATTTGCAGCTTCATTTTTCACTGATCATTCTGTACAGTTGTAATCGGACTGTGTAATCGCACAGGTGGCTGTAATCGGACACCCTTAATCAGACAGTTGAAGCAGCCAATCATACTAAGTCCACTCACCTAATCCACTAATAACAGAAATGATCAAAATAACCATAGCAACAACCGCTTATCCAAAGAAAAACTGGGTAATCTCCAAAATGAAGGAATTTTTGACTTAAGACACTGGAGATATTTTACTGGGTGTATTTGTTTTTTCGGAAATTGAAATGGTGATAGTTAATTGGTAACAGAACTTCTTGTTGTCCAATTCTGTCCGTAATCATACTCGTGATTAAAATATCGGACTCTCCCCTCGCGGCCGTCCGATTTTTGTCAATCTCTCGTATGATTACAGATCGAATTGGATTCCACTTGGTCCTATTATCATGACTAATCATGCAGCTGAATGTATAAAGACTCAGAGGGCATATATGTTTGTTGAAAAGAACCCACTAGTGAATCTATTCAAACATGAAAACTATTTTGAACTGAAATCATATCAAATCGATCTCTAAAACAACATCAAATTTATTGGGACTGTCGTTAACAAGAGTAATATGAGCGAAAGGCCATTTTGAAAGTCAGGTTTGCAGTTTGGCGGTGTACTTTACCAGTCTGGACCATAGACAATTTTGTCTATACCATTTCTTAGGAGTAATCGGCTCCTGCATTTCATTGGCATGATTGGTCTAGACAAAACCAAAACAAACTGATGTGACCGAGAGAGGATTGGGACGATACTTTTTCTAGCTAGCTTTCTCGTGGCGGCCATATTGTAATGCGAAGGAGACGGCAGAACAGAATTCAAAATTTCAAGAGACATCATTGACTTATTGATTTCCATATTACTGTACTACAAATCTCATTTTCGACGGACATGTCATGACGTCATGGTAGAGACAAGGCTGTCTATAGCCCGGACCGTTTACACCAACAAGAAACGAAAGAAATTAGAGATTACTGACAAAATGACCGAAAAACAAAAAGACAAATATTCTGAATCATTGTTTATTTCCCGGTACCTGTAGTTCAACCCTTGGAACAAAGGCCGGTTACGGAGGTGTTTATAGAGAAACGCCCAGGTGATAACGATGATGACTTTGATGATCATGATGATGATGATGACGACGACGATGATGATGATGATAAAGCTGATGATGATGATGATAATGACGACGGGAATGTACATGCTGACCTTGACGATGACAAATAGCCTCTACAACATTGGCATTTACACTTCTGAACAATGTTAAGTTTGAATTCACACTTTCAGTCACTTGTATTTTGTCTCTCCGCTCAGTTATCTTTTCAGAAAAATCAAAACAAAGGCCCGTTTTTCATGTAAATAGACGAGAAAAAAAATGCCCTAGGAAAACGAAGTCGACAAAATATACTTAAAAAGAGAATAATTTTTTACCGACCTGATTGAACTTTCGGTGTGACTCTTTAAGTATTCCGTACTCATTATTGTCTTTTAAACAAGAAAAAACGTTTTCCTTAAAAAAGTTTTACTGCGCATTTTGTTGCATATTTTGTCGTCTTTACATGAGTTCTCACGACGAGGTCGTCCTCGATCATCAAGGTCGTCAAAGCGCTTAGCTTCTTCTTTCGTTTACTTTCCTGGGCTCGGGGGGGAGGGGGGGGAGGGGGGAAGATTGCCAAACTCCAAATCAATGCATGGCAAATTTTTCTCTTTTTCTGAGATTTGTCGTTTGTACTTGAAATTGCTTTACGATAATGCGAAGCTTTAAATGTTTCAAATTGTGCTGGCAATCACGAATAGTGTGACGTCATATTCTCATATAAACTGTCCACTTGACCACAGAGAACGCGCGTTCAAAGTCAATTATTCTAAGAATTAAAAGCCAAAGTACTATCGACAATAATGTTCTAAAACAGCTGGTTCATACATCAGCTTTGCATTTATAGAGATATGAAGCACGTTGGAAATTTCAAGAGAGAGCACTCAAAAAGCCAGAGTTGCTGCGCCTCGAGCAATTCTAACGCTTCTCTTGTGCTTTCCAAACTTTCCACGTGATTCATATCCATATGGACGCACGCTTACGTTTGAACCGATAGTTCACCCTTTAACTCCCAGATTTGATTGACTTGCAACTTCTCCTCATAATATCCATGTAATATCCAACAAAAAACCTATTGAGAATACTTAAACTTATCAGGTAGAAGTTGTTGTCTTGATCTAACACCAAATTCTGTTAGCAATTTACAATGAAATATATAGCAACCAGAGGAGAGAATTAACCATTAAATCTTGGGAGTTGAAGGGTTAAGTGTAATACCGTAGAAAATTAATATCCGCCCCACAATTTAATTAATTGAACAGACAAAACAAACAGTTGTCTGACTTTTATCATGGCGTACTCTTTACAGTACGATATATCTGATTGTGTTTTCTATCACTATTTGAATTAACTGCTCGAAAAAGAAAATCTAACGCAGTATAATCTTTTATCTGATACGAAATATACTTCTTACAATTTAGAACGCTCCCAAAACCCTTGTGTGTCTTCTATTTTAATTTTCGATATCTGACAGCGAAAGCAAGGCATCAATTATTTCACTCTTTTTTTTTTTCTCAGTTGTTTTGTCTGTAACATGTGCATCTACACGTGAGGGCAGATTTTTCAGAGGTTATTACGTAATCTAGTCACAGAAATAAAAGAAAAGCGCCGGAGATTTGAGCTGGAAATTTGTGTGAACAGCTTAAAAGAAACAATTTGATATTGCTAAACGTATGTCTCTTCAATATCTCTTGCTTTTGAGCTCGAATCGTGACGTTGAATATCAGGGTGACTAAGAGGGCTATCGCGTGAAGATTACACGTGAATGTATCAGCGGCGATTACATAATCTAGTAACGTCGTCTTTGTTATAATATTCAAACAATCTAGCTTTAGTGAGTCCAATGCTACCAATTACGTAGAAAGCCGGTCATGTCAAATTTCACTTGTTTTGAGGAAAGTTATGGCTGCCGGTCGTTTAGTGATCAAGATTTTTTCGCTGTTGTAAACCAGAGGTTAGATGGTTTCTACTTTTGAATATCATTTCTGATCGTAGTGTGTAGTTCAGGATTTTCAATTCTATTGTTTGGTGACTTCATTCAAACCATCGATTATCATTCACGGTATGGCCAAATCAACTCAACTCGTCTAAAAATTGACAATCCTGGTTCAGAGGAGATAAAAGAAAGTCCTAAAGACTTGGAAGGTTCAGAGCGATGGAAAAGAAGATTCGTGAGCCATACGACCTTCGATCGAGAGAGTGGAAATTAAGCGACAAGCTACACACCGATATCAGAGATCTCGCATGTAAAGTGACGGTGAAAGTACCCGGCGCTCAATCAGTTGCACCTATTGCTAACAAGTTGGTGGACTTTCAAAGGCAAATCGTAGCGCAGGAAAGGGCTGTTAAAGGCGTGGACGAGAGAGAAGAGAAAGAATTTCTTTGTTCACTATGCGGATGTTTTTACATCGAGCCGGTTACGCTGAACTGTGGACATACGTTATGCAAGACGTGTATTATTCCAGTCGGCGAAATTTCTGTGTCAGCTGTCTACTGTAAACTGTGCGGCTCTAAAAATTATGAAAATAATCTATCCATAAATGTCCTAGTCTCACAATTGATTCAAAAATGGTTCCCCGACGAGTATGAACGAGAAGTAAAGCAGTTAGAGGAAATCGTTCGGCGTAAACCACAGGGTAACCAGCAAAAAATCGTTGAAAGCGTGTCGGACGTCCTAAACAAGTCTCCAAAACAGGTGACGGCTTTAAAATTGCGGAGCCATGCCTTCTTACAGATGGGGCTATACAAAAAGGCCCTGGAAGATGTCGACCTTGCTTGTGATTTACGACCCTTTCTTTCGAGCGTTTTTCATCAGAGGGGAGTGGTGTTGATGAAAGTGGGAGACTACCACGCTGCTTCAAGTAGTTTTTCGCGCGCCTTAGCACTAGATCCTATGGTAGACCCGCGGTTTCGGTCAGAATTGCTCACCTGTCTGACCCATACGCTGGATTCTGAACGAGCTGACCTACGCAGAAAGCTTTTACCTGGTGACCATTTGGGAGATTTAACCCGAAACAGTGCATGTCAGAGCCCTCACACAGACAAGACAAATGATCACTCTCTTAAACACAGTTTTCTTCAAAAAGGATCTTCCTTAAAGCGTCCTATTGAAGACACTTCTGATAGTTGTTCCCTCTGCTCTCGAGAATGGAGATCCAAGTATTTCAAATCTTCGACAGAGCTCATTTCGAATTCTACTAAACTTTGTGAGGCTAATGCCGTGAGGGAGCTTGAAGATCTGGAATGCAAAGTCTGTTATAACATTCTGTATGAGCCAGTCACTACAACCTGTGGACACACCTTCTGCAGAACATGCTTACAAAGAGGGCTCGATTACAGATCAGAATGCCCATGCTGTCGTCGTGCCCTCAACTGCGGAGTTGAAAGGAACACTAAAGTTAATGTGATCATTAAAGAGACTGTGAAGAAATTCTTTGCTGACGAATACGCTGAAAGAGAGAAGAGCTTCATAGAAGAAAAGTCACGTTGGAAGGGGTGAGTTTTTGTTTTCTTTCAAATAAAGCAGCCTTACACCTCCTCTGCTCTTAGCTAAATTTGTTCGCTTTCACTTCGCGCCCTACCCTCGGCTGGAGCTCTCACGCTTCTCGCCTAGAGGGCTCGATTATCGCATTTCTCACGCTTCGCGCGTTTCTTAGGAGAAACAGAAAGGCCTGTTACAAAGAATAGCCCGGAAACTGTTTCTAGAAATATGTGGGTTACCTCGGATTGTCATAAAAATGTGTCTTGATTCTCCCTAAGTCATAAATTTTATTTGTTTCATGATTCTGTCAGGAAGTGCTTAGTGACAGTGGAAAGTGAAAGCAAAATTCTCGTGAATTATGTAACTTTTTTAACTTCCTCACCCGGCTTTTCTACCATGATTTTAAAAACACGTGTTTCAAAACGTGGGAAAATTACTATTGCTATGGCACGTTTGATTTTGGACGTGGAACCTCGATGAAAGTGTACTGTGAAATGATGTACAAGAACCATGCATGACGAGGCCAAACAACAGCTGTGAAGGAGACTGTGCCTTCTCTAACTATCGCCCATGGTGTAGATGTTTCGTGATGTTTGAGCTTAATTCGAGACAATTGATTTTGTTTGTATTACAAAATAATCAAACTAGAGGAGGAAAGCTTGACTTTACGTAAGTTTCTTTGGAAGTTTTGTCTGAGATTTAATCGAAGTAGTTTCAACGTGATCCGTGAAGTGTTAACTGCTCCCTGATCAGCTTGGCTTCAGCTGAATTTAACGAAACTACTGATCTTCCGTTTTTAAAGATAAACGTTCAGAGTTTTAGGCTAATGTACATGTGGCCTTCGGAATATTAAGATATTAAATCGACGTAAAAAGTTTCAAAATGAATACTCTATGTGGAAATAAAGCTTTAGGCAGAAGCGCTTTCAGTAGTTATCCTCGAAGTTAGGTGTTAACATCTGCGAGTTTTATGCTTACTGGCGATGAAATTTGTTAAAACCCGTATCACACTGAGAAATATCTATCGCAGATGACACTACATGGCAGGACGCACGCAAAGTCAATACAGTGTTTTATAATCAGCCGCGGCATATTCATTCAATTTATTACCATCCTTTTCAAAAGCAGCAATTGCATTGCAATCAAGCTGCCAGAGAACTCTTTATAATCTTCCGTGTAAAATATATTGAACTCTTTGTTTAGTGATAGAAGCATCCTATTGTGTGAAATCCTTGGCAGGAGCTTATATTTAACAAAAGAACGGAAACATAATTGTGCCGGCAACACGAATCCTCAAATTGGTTATATAATATGTTCAAGGCTTCCGTAAGGTTATGTAATTGTTTAGTAATCGAAAGCTATTTCAAAAATTACACCACAATCTACAACGTTTACGTGAGAAAGGCAAGATACATAGTAATACATAGCCCTTACTAGTGAGAAGAATAAACGCTCTCACTGGAACCCAATTAAGATGCACAACTTTAGTAGTGATCATGTTCGTTGTGGTGTGTCTTACTCTCAAAGCGATTTCTTTTGTCTCCATAATTTAGGGAGAGTCTTAAACTTTTGAATCGTAAATAGTTCTGTATTTTCTCGTGTTGTTAGAGACTAGGTATCTCAGAGACGTTAAATGATGTGTAAATTGAGTCGGAGGATTTTTTCGGATGTTCCCTTTCTATGCTTTTCTGGCGTCCTTTTAATATTGAAACCACTTTCAATCGTTGACTTTTCATCCTTTCCCTGCACTTAAACCCAACGGTCGACAGTGTTTCAACGATAGGACGTCTTTTAAATCTCCACAGACGAGCGACATGTAAGTTATTACACACCAGCTAATCAACTTTATTCAGTTAGTCAGACTGTGTATTCGTGAGAGTGTTGTGTCGCATTAGATACCATTCAGTGCCTCATCAAGAACCATCCTCGACTAGTTTAGAGACCATAATTTGTGTCAAAATCTGTTTTAAACGGGCCGAATCATTGATTTTGCGTTTTTAAAAATAATTGGCCTTTCTTTTTCAAGATTGACGTCTGCAATCCGTGTCAATGTTATTTTAAGGTGGCAAGTTTCTAAAGAAACTGGTTCTGCGTCGCTAGGTGCTATAACAATTAAATTTAGTTTTATCAATTGAGTTGATCATGTGAATGGGCTACCCTAAAGAGTTTCTTAAACGGACGTTTCGAGAGTTAGCCCTTCGTCTTTCGCTCTGACGAAAGGTCTGTATTAGAGTCTCACCAGGATGGCCAATTTACATTAAATCATTGGCAACGTTGTTGAAAAAATCAAATTATTTTTTTAAATTCCAACCCTTCCCCCCTTGCTCCTTTCAGGCTTAGCCTCTTCTGTGTTCCAGTTAAACTTCTACTGAAAGGTTTCCCAAATTAATGTCAAACTCAGCGCTTCTGAACAATTTGAAAATATTCGCTCGACGTTGTCTTATGAGGTCTTCGTGCATAAACTCCCAGTGAAGCCAATCGAGAGAAGCTGTAAGCCAGCTTTGCTTGGATCTCCATCCCTCTCGAACGAGTTAAATTTCATTAGTGATGTTATGTTTGAATCTCGTTACAGAGTTGGTGTTAACGAAGATATAGAACTGCCTATATTTGTATGTCTGTTGGCTTTTCCAAGTCTTAAATACCCGCTCTATATCTTTGAACCGCGATACCAGCTTATGATCCGTCGATGCGTGGAGCTAGGTTCCCGGATGTTCGGAATGTGTGCTTTTTCTGAGGACCCAGACAAGGAATTTTCTGATTACGGAACTATTTTGCGCATTGAAAATGTCAGTTTTCTGCCTGATGGCCGCTCCATCGTTGAAACTACGGCGGTGCGAAGATTTCGTGTTGTCTCCCGATCAACGGCCGACGGTTATAACACAGCGAAAATAAAATGGCTCGAAGACGAAATTCCCAAATCATATTCTGAAGATCCAGACCTCCACACGATGAACGTCGACTGCTATAGAACTTTAGAACTTTGGTTTACTCTTATGACACCGTTACAACAGACATGCGTAACAAACGCAATAGGCTCCATGCCAGCCATTGAGGAACTAGTACCCAGCTCTAACGGTCCATCCTGGCTGTGGTGGGGATTGGCGGCTGTCCCACTGAAAGATAAAGCTAAGCTTATCATTCTGTCGATGACGTCACTGGCTGAGCGGCTTCAAAGTCTTCGCCGCTTTTTAGAACTCTTGATCGGGGTGAGATTCGAGAATTAGCGCCTGTGGAATATTGAGAACTTTTGAACTTTGCATCTTTAAGTAGATTGATCTAAGTTAGGATTCAAATGGAGTAAAGTAGTTATGAAAGTTTGAAAAATACCCCACAGAAATTCGAATTCTGTCGGTCAAGTGAAAACCAGCTTTCAAGTGTAAACTACTTGGAAGCCAGTGAGAACATTTTCACCAGTAAAAACGAAAATAGAAAACTTCTAAGCCCCGCGAAGTTAAGTTATCTCAAGCATCCCTTTCTGGAGTTCATTACTTTTTTACTTTTTACGCTTAAAACCCTTGAAGTACTATAACAGAGAGTCCATGGGAACCTGAGACAGCCCTCCCTTTCTCCCCCCCCCCCCCCCCCCCCACCCCCGCTCCTTAAGAGTTACTTTGACTGACCTAACTTTCCAAATATTTCTTCAAGACAATTCAAACAATTCTGAAAAAGGGGAGGACTAGTTTTTTTGGCAGGTAGGGTAACCCCGTCAGTCAGGACACCTTTTTCTCATATAAATGCTTCGGCTCACCTTCCCAAGACGAGACGGTTCGAATTAGTTTTGTCTAGTATGTAACCTGGCTAGCTGTCATGAGAGAGACTGTTTAGGGGACGGCTGCTACAACTCATAACGCTTTGTAAACTGTCCATAAAGTTGTCTTGATGAGGAGGGTTGTCTCAGCCACCTGAGGCGATATAACAGGGTTAACTGAGAGGTAACCCAAATCTTGTTAGGTGATCTAAAATTTGTGATGTATTTGTCTCTTACCTACTCTGTGAGAATTCAGTGATCAGTTTATTTCCTTTAAGAAAAATTTTCATCAGAGTTAACTTCAGGGAAGAGAATCCTTAAGTATGGATGAATGTTTTTATAATTTATTTATTTATTTATGAATTTGCCCTAGCAGATCATAAGAGTTTACGAATTTTTTCTTCACTTAAATTTCAAGAGCGAAATCGGTTCGTTGTTGCGCCTTGTTACTGCTTGACATCGCTTTTGGTACTCAGTCAATTAGACGCAAAAGTAAGCGGACCTTTACATGCTGGTCATACGAATGGATAGCTGCGTCAAATTTTGCTTTGAAATTTTATTGTTAGTTTGTTGTGACTAGGAATTCTGATAACAGTGGTTTGAATTGCAGACACTCCATTTAAATCTACTGTGTCAGAAATTTTAGTCACCAAGTTTTGCATGTTAGATTGTATTTATATTGACTGAAAATTAGCAGAAAATAAAAGGCAGATTTTATCATTCATGTGCCTCAAGTTGTTTTTGGGAAAAGATGAGTGCACCTAAGAGTGATTTGCTCGTGTAAGAGAGACTCGCATGGGAGCTTCGCGTGGGAGTCTCGTTTCCTATGTTTCGAACAGAACCCAGAGTGTGTGTATTACGAGGACCCACGACCATAGACCCATGTGTCGTTGTAAAACTTGCAGTGATAAAAGCGTTTAACATCATTAAAAACGTCTTAATTTTTAGCCTAAAAACCTTCATATTCGACAACAAAAGTACTTATTATCAGTTTACAGTCGAAATCGTTCCGTGGTAGGGTTTATTAATAGTTCATACCAGGGTAAAGTTCGAAAATCAAGTTAGAAACCAAGATCATTTTTTTGCCGAGTCATTATATTGCGTGACGCGCTATTAATATCTTCACGTGCAAGCGAAGACATCTAGGGCATGGTTACATGGGGGAGAA